CGAGGGGTGGAGGTTAGGGGGAAGAAACGACAAGTACATTATCGCGTGCGGAAAACGAAATTGCAGGGAAAAAACGCGGCACGGGGGAAACACACGGGGCGGGCAGGAAATGAGACTGGCCTAGGGGGCACGAAATCAGCATTCTGGGGGAGCGAATGGGTACAGTCGATGCCCAGCCTTATTGCCGCTCAACCTGGCGCCCATTCAGAATCCGTTTTCAAAAGCCCCGATATACGAGCAATTGGAGATCCGTTTGAGTCACTCATGATTGCGTTCTGCGACAAGCATATGGCAAGGGACAAGTCGTTGCGGACGAGGTTTCGTCGCCACGGAACTGTGCACCGCAGTCGCCTGAAAACTTCACAAGAGTCGCACACTGGCAACAAACATCGCCATGTGCTCGTGCGAAAGCCTCATTTGTCCGTGGCGAGGGACAGCAAAATACTTGACCGATTGAATCCCCGGCACCCTAAAATCTTGTGCGACTCTGACGAGCTTCGTTTGTAAACATACGACATTGCAGGGCTGGCGTAAACGAAATTTCAGGGCGGGGAACATGTGACAAGCACACGGAAAAACGGAACTGCGCAAGGGGGGGGGAGGGGGGGGGGGGGAAACAGAAATTGCCAGAGATCGCGGGATTTGTCGTTGGAATGTTTTCCTTCGTAGGCGAGGTCAAATTTCTCAGGCCCCAACGTTTATAATTTGAAAAAATAACACGGAATGTGTACCGCGGCTGTAAGAGCGTGTTCAGTTCAGAGTGCCGACGTCAAATTATTTACAGAGCCGAGTGCGGAATTTTGTGATGAGCTGCAGTGACGAGAGCTGGGTGCCAAGCCAAGCCAAACTGCGCCATGCCGTGCTGTTCCATGCCATGCCACGCCAGCACACTGTGAGTGGAGTGGACCGCACTGCAGATGCTTCCTGCGTTTGAGACAAAATGGGTCATTAAATAGAAGTGAGGGCACCACCTGTCTGGATGGACACGCGTACAGTACGACTCTACCCATGCGCTGTAACGACGTGTTTAAGGCTCTCGCTAACAAGGCAATCACCCTTTATATAAAGAAATTAAGAGTGGATTTAAGCTGGATAATGTTTTTTTTTACAGACGGCAATTTCCTGACTCGGATCGGGCTAATGTGATTCCTTGACATTATGGGTTTCTTTTTCCTTTATTCTGTTGGGCGTGTACCATGTGTGATTGAAACGACGTTACCCGACGTCCCACCAGGGTAGTAGGTTTTCGCACAACTGAGAAGTTTTATGTGCCTTCGAAACTGCTGACTCGACTTCAAACCTTGACATCCTGCTGTTCGGCCTAATTGACCCTAGTAAACCTTACAGCTAGAGGGGGCTATTCCTTTCCGTACCAGGCGTTCCGTAGCGAGAGTTTTGTTCTCTTCCCAACCCGACTGGGCATGTTAGGATCAAGCAACGCCCCACACTCTGCTGCACTCCCTCTCAACCTCGGCAGTGGCAAAAGCCCTTTGAGGATGATGGTGTACCACAAAGGGTAACGTTCATAAGATTTTCTACGCTAACGGGTGCGTTCAATGAGAGCCCGTACCAACAAGGGCAATTTTGTGGGCAGTTCGGAAGGTACGGACGGGAAGCAACCACAAGTGTTGGGTGGTGGTGGGGCTCTGTCGGTGGTTGCTTTGGGAAGCCGTCCTTCGTGGCTTCGATACGCTTCCGGGTTCTTGTAGTAGAGAATTTTCGTCCGGTGCCTACGAAGTGTGTGAGGTGTGGTCAATTTGCTGTCGTTTAAATTTGTAACACACCCACAAGCCGGATGTCAACCACATCCGTCGACATCCACCGACGGTACAATGCGTTTCTACGAGTTTCTACATATTGCTGATCGGTCGAGCGACATCGTTTTCTCAAGGATGGCGGTGGGCACCCTGGTCTGATCTGGACTGGACAACCCACACACACACACCCATTTCGACGGAAAAGGTTTGGGGATGTGTTTCTCACCATCTACCTGTACAATCACGGTGAGATTCGATGTGTTCTGGAGCACCCAGCAGCATTTGAGCGGGGACCAAGCCCACCCTGCCATTGCATGGTGGTGAGTGCCTGTTTTTGCCTGACGTAGTAGGTTACTACACAGACTCTACGATTCAAGCACGCAAAGTTTTCTGGCGCTGCGTGCATGTATCCTCCGGCCAAAACGCCGGGCAAAAAGGGCCTATACACTTCCGGGGCGGGAGCAGCTGAACGTTAGTCATTTATTTCGGGCAGCCTGGGTGCGTCCATTGCGGTGTAACCTAAGGTAACCAGCGCGAGAAACTTCTAACCCGCATGAAACGGGTCATGTTACAGGCGCTTCATGTCGACTGAAATCTGGGCCCTTCAGTGCAGGCGAGGCAGGCGACGGGAGCGCGGGGCAGTCATTTTTGCAGTTGGGCGAAAGCGCAGATGGGTGGGGTTACAGTGTGTGGCTTCGTGGTTCTTCTAATTGATGTGGCTGAACTCATACAATACCCCCGCGTTTGAAGTTCGTGGAACACCCTGGTGAACTGCGCTAGAAAAAGCTGACGTGTCCTAAGGTTAATTCATTTGAACACTAGCTTCTTTTGCAACCAGAAACCACCATTTTTACGTGGCGGATCAAAAGCTCGCTGGCTGACGAGAAACCTTCTACTGAATTCGTTAGGCTATGTCTCTTCGCTAACGTAATCGTTGGGACGCATCCCATTGGTCTGTGCAAAATATGGGCGCTATCTTGTACAGTACTCTTTTGGGTCGTTTCATGTTGAACAGCAATTGTGCTTATACACTACGGGATAAGAGCAGGGTGTATACATCAATGGGTCCTTAACCGTGATTGTGTGAGTAGCTCGGATGTCTGTAAGAGAGATCGTGTGTACAGTATAGACTCGGGGATGTTGCTGATCTTGTAGTGCTCTTAACGCTGTTTGGACTCGCACTTACTTCCAATATCCGGTAAACGTGTGTATGTCAGTACGATTCGAACTCGAGAATCAACTTCCGCAATTTGCACTCGAGCTATGGGGCCCAGGATGTGTGGGAGCTTCTGCACTCATCCGGTGCGTTTCAATAACAACCTGGAAAATCGTTTTGGAAAACAGGTCAAATAGGGGGGAACACACTGAATTCCGGGGGCATGCTGACTCATGATGACTCGGGAACGTTTCGGTTCGGTTTGGAAAGAGTCTCAGGGTGTGTTCTTAATTGACATCATGTAATGCTACTTCGTGTCAATATTTTTTAGGTGCAAATTTGACAGGCACAAATTAGAATGACCAGATGAAGCCTATGTCTCATAGGATAGACAGCAAGGGTAGTGTTCCTCGTGTTGTTTACCGACAAAATTTCCCCTCCGTACAGCAATCGTCAGTCCCGTCCGTAGAAATGACATGTCATTCTACCAGGGTTACCGGATTCGATTTGACACCCGACAACATTTTTTGCAGCGTGTCAAATCGACCTGCACATAAAGATCAATCAAACGTATCGAACCAGAAGCTGACGAAATTGTAGAGCTGTCGCCAGCTAACCGAAATCGTCGCTACGACCTAGCTGAGCATCTGCTCTCGCCCAATCAACAAAAGGCCAGCCAAATATTTGCGCATGCACTGGTCGATTTTCTTCGACAAACAGTCCTGGGCAGAATACCGAACTATATTGGCCAATGAAAAGCCTTCGCAAATTTTTGTGCACGCTATTGGATTTGACCCAACAGCTACAATGTTTGACCCTCAAACGTGGGCGCGCTCCGGTTGGACGCAGCTGAACTGACATGTCATTGCTACGGACGCTACCTCAGAATACGAAATCGACAAGGTGGGATTTCTCGATCCGAACATGCAATCCACTCCCACAGTACATGTCAGCGACAGGTCTGAGCCCCCACGAAGTGTTTTGCCAGCGGATGACAGCGGATATCAGGGATGACAAAACAAATCTTCATCCGCTCACATCCGTTTTTGCGGATGACAACGGCGACAATTCGTTCTGTCATGGGATGTTCAGTGGATGTCAGCGACACTTCGGACCAGCACTGAAGCACAGGCCCCAAAAAAGTCGCTCAGGCAATTTGGCCTGCTTAACCGTTCTAAAGTGCTATTTGACCGTTTTGACAAGCAAAAGATATGAACAAACCGCAATCGGACGTAAAAGCCACATGGAATTAGGGCGTGTCACGCGCTGTTGGCCTCGGACTGGAAAACTCAGTCGAGCCGTACGAAGTGGGGGGGGGGGGGGGGGGGGGGGGTGGGGGGGCATACTCGTCATCTAGACCTCCATGCCGAAAATAGGCGGTGTCAAAAGTTTCCGTGGCGGTCGCATCGCATCCGTGTTTTGGTTCACCCACGTCGGCAGTGACTGCTCAAATGCGACAAAGTTTGAGAATCGAGAATGAGATTGTGTACAGTTAAAGGATCAGTTGAGAACAAACTGGTTCTGTACAGAGCTCTACACCAGAGTTCTGAAAGAGGCTCTAGTTTGTTTTGGCCTGTTACTCCAGTAACGGACGCCTTCAAATCGCTGGCAAATTGGGCCTGAAGGTAGGACCATGGTTACCCGTTTGGCAGGACCCTTGGAACATGGAAGACATTCGTTGTTTCTCCCGTGTACCCCGGTAACTGTCGCACAATCGCACCCTGGTTCCGAGTCAACCTACAATTGTTCCTTCTGCATGTTCGCTCCCAGCACTGTCGCAAGTGGTTGAGCCGCCCAAAATTGGGCCAGTCCAGGACGGGCCGTTGCCTCTAAATCCGTGCCAGTCGGACTGACGAGTGCATGGAGGCCTCTGACGAATGGGCGGTTCACTGGACGTCATGTGTAGTATTTTACAGATTCCGAAGGACCACACTACACTGAAGAAGTGGTTTTTTTTCCCCCAATGAAAGCGCATTTGCCCTACTCCAGTTCACATGTTTCGGCACTCCCGTTGCAGCTCACTCACCTCACCACACCACCACCATTCAGCACAGCCATGCCTGCCATGGCTCTTGGGAATTCCGTTCATTCTTCATCCCAACCAGCCAATCCTTCGTTTCCTCACACCACGTGGAGCACATAACGTCCCACTCTTTGCACCTCGTGAGTCATATGACGCGATTTATCTACTTCTACTTCGCCTCAGAGCTTACACGCTTTTTCCTGTCCAGCCCGTTTTTTATGCTCGACAGTCTAGAGAGTTCCGCGAAGACCGTTGCAAATACTCCGCGTCTAAAATACCGATGGTCCTACACGTCTGGCCACTAGCGCTAGTTTTGTCCCGAACCGCGTTCTGAATGTTCCGTGTCACGACGCAATGACGGTATCTCCCTGTTCGCTACGAAATTCCAAAGGATTTCTTTCTTTACGTCGAATAACTACCCGGCGACAATGGCTGGGACGAGTAATCGCGAAAGTAGCAGCGATGTCATTACCAGTATTCGTACTTCTGCCGCCAGTTGTAGCTTCTTACCACGTGACGTAGTAGTCTCAACCAAAATCTATGCAGGGTCCATCGATGTTATATCGAGCTTTGTCGCCGTCTCACCCGAAGTTCGGGACCCGGAAATCCACACCACCTGGCAACAAAACGCCGCGGAGCGAGCGACGTCGGGAGATTCCCTATGTCTTAAGTCTCCTACTATTACTCCTCAGACGTCTCAACGAGCGCTTACTCTATCCAAAGTAGACGACGACACGCCGTTTTTTATAGCAGGAGGAGCCGCCCCAGCCGCCGCCGCAACTGCCGGCGCAATCGACGCGCGACACTTTCCGGGCGGCCGTCATCACCACCATGACGGTGACGGTCGCGACGACCGAGTCGTCGATGGCGACTGGCCTGCGACGATGTCAGGCGATTCGCGGCGGCTCGTGACGTCGCCGAGCCATCATTGTCGCATGCGGTGGTCGCCGATAAACTCGCCGTTTTACGATCCGCGTCGGTGTCACGATCTCACCCAGGGCGACGTCCTCCAGCCAGCGAACTCCCACTCGGCGAACTCCCACTCGGCGAACTCCGACTCGGAGTCCGACTCGGAATTTCAAGCTGTGTGTCAGGAGAGGTGTTGGCTAGGATTCAGCGATTTCCAGTCTCAGGATATGCGTAGTAGCTACGGTACTCGAAAACCTAGTAGAAGTAGCACATGCCAGGAGAAGTTTCGGCTCGGATTCAGCGAGTTCCAGTCTCAGGATATGCGTAGTCGCTTCGGTAGTATACCTAGTAGTAGTAGCACGATAGATGATTTGCTGGGTCGACATTTGAATCGACTCAGAAGAAGTAGCTTACTTAGTGGTAGCGTACTTAGAAGCACAGCCGATGATTTGCTGGGTCGACACTGCGGCGCTCTTCGGACCTCAAGGGCTCGGCGCGTTGCAAGCAGCTTCACGATTTTCCGCGGAAACCGCTGGAATGCCGCGGCGGCGTCCGTGATGACGTGGCTACTGGTGCTGACGTGGGCAATTTTACGGACGACCGCCGCGGGAGCAGATGTAACAGACACAGTGGGGGAACGAGGGGATAGCGTGAGCAGTGGCCGACGCCTGTCACTAAGTGGCGGAAAGGTGGCGCTGAGTGGCTTCGTGGAAAGGAGCGGCGGCGACGCGGCACGCTCAAGCAGTCCTCGTGGGGGGAGCTCAAGCTTAGCGGATGGCGCGCGCGAAGCTCGGCGCGCAGCAACAGTGGATGCGCGCGAAGCTCGGCGCGCAGCAGTAGAGGATGCGCCCGGCTCCGACTCCGCGACCGTCGATCCGCAGGTTGATCCGCACTTCAGGTTTCACGGAGCCGAGCATTATAAACGCCGCCGGGTCGATTCGCCGTCGTCGCGGTTACCACTGGACGGCGAGATTTCTTCGCAGCGTTTGATTCTGGGAGCCGCACCCATGGCGCCGTCTAAGCAATTGCCAAGCCTGCCGCGCGAATCTGCATCGGTTTCGTCCCAACCTGTTCTTTCAACACCAGCCGCGTCGTCGTCACTAGCCACGTCGGCACCAGTATCCGCGTCGCAGTCGATCACGATTGGCTGCCTCGTGCCCGTGGATCTCACCCCCGACAGCGTCCACATGCTTGCCGGTACTACCAAGGGCGGTTTAGGGGACGTCGGCAGGGGCTTGTGCGATGCGTTCGGGTTTCCGGAGGTGAGGGGTCGTGAGGCACCTCCAGGTCGTGAGGCACCGTCAGTGCCGCCCATTCGCCCCCAATCTCTCAAATCCCTGGTGCTGCCGCTACTGTTGTGTTTCGTTTTGTTCCACCCCCTATCTCTCAACTTCCCCTACCCGTTCACTCCCTACCCGTTCACTCCCTACCCGTTCACTTCCTACCCGTTCACTCCCTACCCGTTCATTCCCTACCCGTTCACTCCCTACCCGTTCACTCCCTACCCGTTCACTCCCTACCCATCCCCAACCCCAACCCTCAACTTAATAGCATCCTTAGCAGACAAGGCCCCCCACGCCCGCCCCTCCTCTTCCCCCATCCCACTCTCTCCCTCCATCCCCCCCGTCTTCTCATCCCTCCCCGCCTCTTCCCTCCCCCTCCCCCCCCCCCCCCCCCCTCCTTCTCCCCCCCCCCCCCAACCCCGAACAACCCCCTCCAGCCGTGACTATAGCGGTGGATGAGATCAACCTGTCGACGTCTCTGCTGCCCAACCACACGGTGCTGCTCGCGGCCCTCAACTACACCACTCTGCCCGTCGCAGGGCAGCTCGCAGGTGCGGGGAGGAGGAGTACGGGCTGAGTGTATGGGGAGTTGACAGACGGCTGGAGGGGAGGTGGGGGGGTGAGAACACGTGCTGAATGGGGAATTGGAAGATGACCTAGGGGGTGGGGGAAGGGGGAAAGGGGAGAAAACGTGCTGGTGTGATGGCAAAGGCAGGGAGTAAGCCTGTCTCTACCGCCCCACCACACGGTGCTGCTCGCGCCCCTCAACTACACCCACCCAGCCCGTTGCAGGCCAGCTCGCAGGTGCGGGAGGGAATAGGGACAGGTTCAAAGGCATATGCAGGGGTGGGGATGGGTGTGGGGCCTGGGGAGGGGCTGTGGGAAGGTGTGGGGGAGGGGGTGTGGGTAAGCTGGGGCTGGGGCTGGGCTGGGTAGGGGTAGAATATGGATCGGAGGTGGAGGATCCGCACTCCCTCACGTCCCTGCCCCTCCCTCTCTGTGATATGTTTTTGAGATTTCTCAAGAACCTATCACAGGTAAGCTGGAGCTGGGGCCCTCACGCCGCTGCGCCTCCCTCTCCGCCCCATTTACTCCGCACACCCGTCCCCCCGCTCGGCTCGTTCTCCCACAGCTCTCTAGCTTCCCTCGCTGCCTCATACCTCTCCCTTCCTCCTCCTCCGCACCTTCCTCCTCCCCCGCACCCTCCGCACCTTCCGCACCGTCCTCGCCTTCCTCCTTCCCCTCTTAACCCCCCCCCACTCTCTGTACCCCTCTCCCAGCGCTCCAGCTGGCCTCCATGGACCCCCTGCCGGTGGCGGTGGTGGGACCGCGCACTTCGGGGCAAGGTGACGCCTCTCCCTGCTTCTTCCTCCGCACCCTCCCCCTTCCCCTCTCAATCCTCTCCACTCTTCCTCACCTTCTCCCAGCGCTCCAGCTGGCCTCCATGGACCCTCTGCCGGTGGCGGTGGTGGGACCGCGCAACTCGGACCAAGCAGCGCTTGTCAGCCCCCTCGCAACAGACGCCCAGGTACGGAGGGCAAGGGATGTGAATACAATGGGAATGATGGTCAAGAGGGCAAGGGATGTGAATACGATGAGAGTGATGGCAAGGGCGGCAAGGGATGTGATTACAATCGGAGTGATGGTAAGGGCAGCAAGGGATGTGGAATCTGGGGATGCGGGGTCTAGGCGAGGGGATGCGGAGGGGGTGTGGAGCTCCTGGCTTATCTCCCACGGACGTGCGGCTGACAGCTCTCAGGGATGGTCATGAGGCGATCCAATCCGCCCTCCCACCCCCACCCCCTCCCGCCCCATCTCTACCCCGCTTCCCCTTCCCTCCCCTCCAGATCCCCTTTGTGTCGCCATCCGCCACGGACGTGAGGCTGACAGCAGGCAGGGACAGGCCGTACTTCATGAGGACGATTCACAACGACGGCATGGACATGCGCGCCATTGCAGGTGCTTTCGATCTAGAGGGATTATAGCACTGGTGATTGTAGTGGCGGTGGTTAGAACAGGATAGAGTGGAGGCTGACAGCAGGCAGGGACCAGCCCCACTTGATGAGGACGATCCACAACGACGGCATGGACATGCGCGCCATTGCAGGTGACTGATAAAGAGTGACCAAAACGGCGGTCACATGCGCACCATTGCAGGTGACATGCGCGCCATTGCAGGTGACATGCGCGCCATTGCAGGTGACATGCGCTCCATTGCAGGTGACATGCGCGCCATTGCAGGTGACATGCGCTCCATTGCAGGTGACATGCGCTCCATTGCAGGTGACATGCGCTCCATTGCAGGTGACATGCGCTCCATTGCAGGTGACATATGTGCGCCATTGCAGGTGACATGCGCGCCATTGCAGGTGACAGAGCGCCCTATCTCTCTGTTTTCCTTCACTTGCGTTTCCGCCCACCGTGGCAAATCGTGCAGAGTTCACTCGCGTATCCGCCCACTTGCGTTTCCGCCCACCGTGGCAAATCGTGCAGAGTTCCTGGCCTTCAACAAATGGAGCGAGGTGATTGTCATTCACAGCGACAACCGCTTCGGCCGCAACGGCATAGCGTCGCTCAACGGCTACCTCTCCACACAGCAGGTACCTTGGGCACATCGAGATGTAGTGGTGTAGTAATTTTCGTTTTGAGGCGTCTCAACTACAAGATGTGGACTGTTCTCTACTACACTCTTGATAGGTCTAAAAACGATGCAGATTATTGACAAACAGAATTTGCATGTGCTTTCATTCACCCATATGTCATCTCCCCTTGCCTTTCCTTTCGCTTTCAAGATTCCTGTTCTTACAACCTCTGCACCTGCTTCCCCATCCCTCTCCCTCGTCCCCCATCAGCAATGGAAGGTCAGGATCGCGACACGTGTGCCGATCAAGACGTCGTGGACGGTGGCGGAGACAGGAGCTGCGCTGGCAGCGGTGGAGCGGCTTGATCCGGCCGTGTTTGTGGTGCACGCTGCTGCTGCCCTCTGCGCCGTCATCTTCTCTGCTGGTAGGCTGACTGCTAACTGTCCTTTCTGCTCCACCGCAGCTGGGGCAGCTGCTCCCTTGTGCACCGAGTTTGTGGTGCATGCACGCTGCATCTGCCCTCTGCACGATCATCTTCTCTGCTGGTAGGCTTTTAATACCTTGATCCGCTGCTGCTGCTGCTGCTGCCATCTTCTCTGCTGGTTGGCGGACGTTTGTGTCGACTCAAAGAGGCGTTTGATCGTTATTGAGTCCGCTCAAATGAGCTCCTGTAGCCAGGCTCTCTTACAGTTCAGGGAGGAACCTCGTGAGTGAGTCTGGTGGGGAAGAAGCCCACGAGGCATCACTGTGTGCCATTGTCCGTCCCTCACATCCCCATATTCCCCCCAGCCAATCAGATGAGCCTGGTGGGGAAGAACTCAGTGTGGGTTGCGTCTGAGGGGGCGGCTCTCGTCAATTCCACGATGCTGCAGAATGTCGAGGTGGGGACCAGACCAGGTGATGAGTGGGTGGGTGGAGTATGGAGTGGTGGGGAGTGGAGGGTGGAGAGAGTCTGTGACTGGAGGGAAGTGTGACTGGAGGAAAGTGTGACTGGAGGGAAGTGTGACTGGAGGGAAGTGTGACTAGTTCACATCACAGTATGCTACACGGCTATCACAAAATGTGATGCTTCCTTGCTTCCTCTCTTTCCGTGGATCGTTCTCCCTTCTCCCTCTCTTCCCAGCCCTCCTTGGCATCTCTTTCTCTCTTTCCCTCGTCCTCCCCATCTCCCCCTCCCCTCCCCCCTGCTCCTAGTCAGGAATGGTCATCACATTTTCCTACCTCCCTCCATCGCCTCGCCGTGTGAGAGATTTTTTAGAATTTTCAAAACCAACCCCCCCCTCCCATCCCCCCTCCCAACCCCTTGCGTCGCAGGGAATGGTCATCACGTCTTCCTACCTCCCTCCTTCGCCTCGCCTCACGGCCTTTCGAGAGAAATGGGCCAACCTGGACCCCATCCGCTTCCCCAACGCCAGTAAAGAGGTGGGTGGGTCCCCAAGTCGGATCTGACTCGGCTGGAGCTGCTCTGATGTTTTGTTCCCCCGCCTCGCCCCGCCTCACTGTAACAAAACTTCTCTCTTTCATCCTCGCCTTTCCTTTTCCTTCTTTCCTTCCCCTCCCCCCCCCCCCCACCTCCAGGAGGCAAAGTCGTACACTCTGGCAGCGTATGATGCCACTTACCTCATCGCCTGGGAGCTGCACTCCCTGCTCTATGAGAACGACAGTAACGATCAGACATCATCATGTTTTCCGTTCCACCCGTGCTCTCTGTCCCTTCCCCCCCCCCCCCCCCCCCCCCCACCTCCAGGAGGCTAAGTCGTACACTCTAGCAGCGTATGACGCCACTTACCTCATCGCCTGGGAGCTGCACTCCCTGCTCTATGAGAACGACAGTAACAATCAGACATCATCATGTTTTCCGTTCCACCCGTGCTCTCTGTCCCTCCCTCCCCCCCCCCCCCCCCCCCCCCCACCTCCAGGAGGCCAAGTCGTACACCCTGGCAGCGTATGACGCCACTTACCTCATCGCCTGGGGCCTGCACTCCCTGCTCTATGGGAACGACAGCAACACTGGCAGTGGCAGCAGCAACCACAGCAGCAGTGGCAGTAGCGGCAGCCATTGCAATGCTAGCCCTTCACTTCCATCTCTCACACACTCATCTCACTCACCCCTACTTCTCTCTCCCCCACCTAACCCACCCCCACCACCGCACTCACCCCTACCTCTCTCGCCCGCGTCTCACCCACCCCCACTGCACTCACCCCCTTCTCACCCACCCCCACCGCACTCACCCCCTTCTCACCCACCCCCACCGCACTCACCCCCTTCTCACCCACCCCCACCTGACTTGGCCTCATCCCTCTGGCCTGGGAAGTTGCGTGCTGCCACTGCCGCTGCTGAAAGTCCCGGTTGCAATGGCGGCAATGGTAGCGTTGGGAGTTCGCCTCTCACTCTGCAAACGGACTATAGAAGCTCAGTCAGGAGGAAGATTCCTCTGCAGCTTCGTGGGATAAAACGGAGCTTGGGTGAGTGAGCTCGCAGTTGTTTTTGCAGATCTTCCAATCTTGAGTCCGTTTCTTGGCTCCATTGCATGTGGTATAAGCTATTTTTTTACTCGACTAAAAAATTGACTTATTACACACTTTTTATCTTGAGTCCATTTCTTGGCTCCATTGCTTTATCTTCAATGATTCCGTCGTCTCCTTGTCTCTTCTCCTTGTATCCTCTCCTTGTCTCCTCTCCTTTCTCCTCTCCTTCTCCCCTCTCCTTGCCTCCTCTCCTTGCCTCCTCTCCTTGCCTCCTCTCCTTGTCTCCTCTCCTTGTCTCCTCTCCTTCTCTCTCTCCTTCTCCCCTCTCCTTGTCTCTTCTCCTTCTCTCCTCTCCTTCTCCCCTCTCCTTGTCTCCTCTCCTTCTCTCCTCTCCTTGTCTCTTCTCCTTCTCTCCTCTCCTTGCCTCCTCTCCTTGTCTCTTCTCCTTGTATCCTCTCCTTGTCTCATCTCCTTTCTTCTCTCCTTCTCCCCTCTCCTTGTCTCCTCTCCTTCTCTCCTCTTGTCTCCTCTCCTTCTCTCCTCTCCCTCTCTTTGTCTCCTCTCCTTATCTCCTTTCCTTGCCTCCTCTCCTTCCCTCCTCTCCTTGTCTCCTCTCCTTCCCTCCTCTCCTTGTCTCCTCTCCTTGTCTCCTCTCCTTGTCTCCTCTCCTTGCCTCCTCTCCTTCTCCCCTCTCCTTCTCTCCTCTCCTTCTCTCCTCTCCTTCTCTCCTCTCCTTCTCTCCTCTCCTTCTCTCCTCTCCTTGCCTCCTCTCCGTGTGTCCTCCCCACGGTCTTTCCTACCCGCAGTGGGTCCCATGCTCCGGCAAGCCATGCTATCAGTCACCTTTGATGGGGTCCGGGGCAGGTGAGGGGTGGCAATGGGGGGAGCGGAAGGGAGGGGGGTGGGGGAAGGAAATGGGGAGTTTGTGGGAGGGGGAAAGGAGGGGGAAAAGGGGGGAGGGGATAGAGGACGTAGAGGCGAGTTTGATCTGGGTTTGGACTTGAATGCTGATGGCCTTGTGGTTTTCGAGTCGTTTCAAGAATCGAATACCGATGGCCTCTTGTATTTCCCTATGCTTTGCTATGTTAACTGGGCTGAGTTGTGTTTTCTACGTATATTCACTCTATCTGCTTGAAGCACCTTAAAGCCCTGTTCCCCATCTTCCCTCCTTTCCTCCATCTAGTTTTGAGGCCTCCATCTTCCCTCCTCACCTCCATCTTCCCTCCTTGCCTCCATCTTCCCTCCTTGCCTCCATCTTCCCTCCTTGCCTCCATCTTCCCTCCTTGCCTCCATCTTCCCTCCTTCTCCCTCTTCCAGTCCCCCCCGTCTGTCCCCATCCTGCCCCGCTCCCACCTTACTCCATCTTCCAGGGTAGGGAAGTTTTTGAGTCCGACTCAAAAATCACCTTACTCCATCTTCCAGTGTAGGGAAGGGGCGGGTGGGAAGATGGAGGAAAGGAGGGAAGATGGCCCTGTTCCCACCCGCCCCTTCCCTACCCCTCCCTCCCTCACTCCCCCCCCTCCCCGCCTTCCTTCCCTCCATTACCACGACCTGCACCACCATAACTGGCACTCTTGACCCTCATTCCCCCCCCTTCCTCCCCCTCCCGCTCCCCCTCCCCACCCGCGTTTTTCACTTCACCATAATTTCTCCGAACAGCAACTGTGGCCTGAAGTCGAGCGTGGCTCGCATTCTTCATACTCCCTGTTCCGTCCCCCCCCTCCCCCCCCCGCCCCTTCCCCCTCCCCTTTCCCCCCACCCCCAGAATCTCCCTCAGCGCCAGCGGCGACCTGCAGTCCAACGTGACGCGCATTCTCAATGTGCGCAACGGCACCGCTGTGGACGCTGGCTTCTGGACGTCAAGCCTGCTCCTCACTCCCTCACTTGATGTACGCTTTGACGTCCTCACTCACACCCCACATTGCTACCTTTTTGAGTGCATGCATTGAGCCTCTCCTCTTTGAGTGCATGCATTGAGCCTTTCCTCTCTTTCTCCGACGTGCTCAACAATGTGGATGTTGGCTTATGCACCTCACTCACTCCTCCTCCTCACTTCCTCACTTCCTCACTCCCTCACTTCCTCACTCCCTCACTTCCTCACTTCCTCACTCCATGGATGCACTCCACTCCACCCTTGAACCCTCCTTGCTCTCCCTTTCTTGGTCTATGGCTGTCCTTTTCCTCTTTATTGGCATTTTCGCTTTATCACACACATGCTACGCAAACCTTTCTAGGATACCTGAGCTGATGTCTTGTCCTCGGTTTTGGTGCAGTTACCCCCCCTTAACGGCACATCGCGTATGCTCAACATCACCTTCCCAGGGAACGCCACAAAGGTGCAGCTGCCGCCCTCCCTTGTATCTCTTCCTTCCCTCCCTGTCTTCTGCTATCGCTGTCTTCTGCTATCGCTGTCTTCTGCTATCGCTGTCTTCTGCTATCGCTGTCTTCTGCTATCGCTGTCTTCTGCTCTCGCTGTCTTCTGCTATCGCTGTCTTCTGCTATCGCTGTCTTCTGCTATCGCTGTCTTCTGCTATCACTGTCTTCTCGTCACACTTGTATTGTACTGCATACTCTTGCCACACCTGCGTTCTCTATTCTTGTCTTCTATCTCTTGCCCTTTGTACCACTACTCTCTCTTGTGGCTTGTACGATGTGCTCTGTGCTCTTTCCAAGCCTGCATTCTCCCTACCTTCTATCTCTTCTTGCCCTTTGTATACCACTACTCTCTCTTGTGACTCGTACGATGTGCTCTATGCTCTTGCCAAGCCTGCATTCTCCCTACCTTCTATCTCTTGCCCTTTGTACAACTACTCTCTCTTGTGGCTTGTACGATGTGTCCCATGCTCTTGTCACGCCTGCGTTCAGCTTCTTGTGGGCGTGCTAAGTCGCACGCCCATGTCATGTCATTTCCTAGCTCTTTCACACTGCGCCACACCCTGCACACCCATGCTATCGCGCATCACATACTCTTGCTGACCATGTCCCTGTTCCACTCTTCAACACATTCCTCCAGGCACCCATTCCCTTCCCCCCCTCCCCCACTCCAACCCCCTTCAGGGGCCGTTCCTCGTCATAAGCTGCTTCTGGCCGTCCCCTGCAAGAGGGGCTTCCGCCAGTTCAACATCACGCGTCCCTTCCCCTCCCATGCACCCTCTCCCATTTCTATCCACCCTTCCCCCCTTCCTCACTCCAGCCCCCCTCAGGCGCCTTTCCTCGTCGCAAGCTGGTTCTCGCCGTCCCCTACAAGAGGGGCTTCCAGCAGTTCATCAACGTCACTGGCACCCCTGCCTCCACCCCCACCTCCACCTCCTTCTCCTCCTCGCCGAGTGATCGCGCCGCCCAGAACAGTCGGTTTTCCGGGTTTGTGGTTGAGTTGTTCCGCCTGGCGCTCAGCAAGCTGCCGTACGAAGCGGAGTACGAGCTTGTGGAGTTTGGGTTTGGGGGGGAAGGCGAGGAGCACTTGGGATACGACGACATGCTACAGGCGGTGGCAGACAAGGTAAGGATGGCATGCTGCTACTGGCGGTGGCAGACGAGGTAATGATGGCATGCTGCTACAGGCAGTGGCAGACGAGGTAATGATGGCATGCTGCTACAGGCAGTGGCAGACGAGGTAATGATGGCATGCTGCTACAGGCGGTGGCAGACGAGGTAATGATAACGTGTTACAAAGAGTGAGAGACAAGGTGATCCGATGTTGGCAGGGAAGGATGACGTCCTTCCCTGGCAACATGCTGGCATGCGTACCTCGATGTTGGCCCGCGTACCTCAATGTTGGCACCCGTACCTCGATGTTGGCACGCTGCAGCATCCAATGGATGGACGACGAGGTAGTTTTATCGCTTGTCCAGGTTCACGGTTGAGTTGGTTGAGCTGTTCCGCCTGGCGCTCAGCAATCTGCCGTACGAAGCACGGTATGAGCCTGTGGAGTTAAGGGGGATGCGAGGCTCCTTCGCGAAACGGCGGCATGCTACAGGTGGTGGCAGACGAGGTAATGATGGCACGCTGCTACGGGCGGGGACAGACAGGGTCGTGATGGCATGCTACAGCTGGTGACAGACAGGGTAGTGATGACATGCTACAGGCCGTGACAGACAGTGTGAAGCGCTTTCCCCTCTTGTCCTCTTTTCGTATCGCATGTGGCTGCGACTAACGTCACTCATCATATGCCTCACTTGCCTACTGCCTCCTCTGCTGGCATGTGTCAGAAATTCGACGGGGCCATTGGCGATATCTCGGTGACCCAAGCGCGGAGCAAGCTGGTAGATTTCACACAGCCGTTCATGGTACGTTGATGGCATGGTGCTGTCATCCTTATCACGCGAAGACATGCTTGTGAATGCTTTGATCCACTCCATGCCATGGTGCGTTGCTCCCCCATCCGTCCCTATCGGCCCCTGCTCTCCCTTCCCTTCCCTTCCCTTCCCTTCCCTTCCCTTCCCTTCCCTTCCCTTCCCTTTCGTGCCTTTCCATCAGGCGTCAGACATGCTTGCTCAGCTCATGCACTTCATGCCTCCTCCATCCATCTATGGTGCGCAACACACACTGTTTCCTCTCTTCTAACAGTGTGTGTTGCTCTCCCTTCACAATCTTCCGCCGCTTCCCCTTCCCTTTCCTTTCTGCCAGCCCCCAGCAGCGAGTGCGATCAGCCACTTCCATCCCTCCAGCAGCCCGTGAATGGCACTCGCGCCCTTCACTCCCGCCATGTGCAAAGCCCTTCAACTGAGTGTATTCCTCCTCTCCTCGTCCCACAAGAGCCCTTGCTCCCTCCCCTGGCCTCCTTCCTATTGGCTGCCGCTTCCCGACTCTCTTTTGTCCCCCATGGTCCCCCATTGCCCCTCATTGTCCCCCATTGCCCCTCATTGTCCCCCATTGCCCCCCATGGTCCCCCATGGTCCCCCATTGCCCCCCATGGTCCCCCATGGTCCCCCATTGCCCCCCATGGTCCCCCATGGTCCCCCATTGCCCCCCATGGTCCCCCATGGTCCCCCATTGCCCCCCATGGTCCCCCATTGCCCCCCATGGTCCCCCATGGTCCCCCATTGCCCCCCATGGTCCCCCATGGTCCCCCATTGCCCCCCATGGTCCCCCATGGTCCCCCATTGCCCCCCATGGTCCCCCATTGCCCCCCATGGTCCCCCATGGTCCCCCATTGCCCCCCATGGTCCCCCATGGTCCCCCATTGCCCCCCATGGTCCCCCATGGTCCCCCATTGCCCCCCATGGTCCCCGCCAGCCGACAGCATTGAGTGTGATCAGCTACATGCCGGCCTCCAGGTTCCAGCAGCTGGTGGATGGCATTCGCGCCCTTCACTCTATTCCCTTCTTCCCCCCCTCCCCACCCCCACCCCCACCCCTGCCCCCGCCCGCGCCCGCGCTGAGGAGTCTATTTTTGAGGCGCCTCAAAAATAGACTCTTCTTCCCCCCCTCCCCACCCCCACTCCCACCCCTGCCCCCGCCCCTGCCCACGCCCACGCCAGCGCCGTGATGGCCAGGCATCAGCTGTGAGTGGGGGTGGGGGTGGGGGTGGCATCAGCAAGAGACCATCAGCAGTGAGTGTGGTCCTGAATCCGAAGCCGACGTTGTGAGGGCTCTTCATCCCTCCATCCATGGTGCTTTCTCCTCTTCTATTCTCCAGGCCTCAGCAGTGAGTGTGGTCAGCTACGTGCCGCCCTCCAGCAGCTGGTGGATGGCATTCGCGCCTTTCACTCCCGCCATGTGGGCGGTGTTTCTCGGCATGACTGTGGCCACGGGGCTCATCACGGTGTTTCTGGAGTGCCGCCAGAATCCGGAGTTCCAGGGGAAGCTGCACGAGATGCTGCAGCACGCCGTGTGGTGAGTTGGGGTGGTGTGTTGGTGTGTTGGTCTCTCGGTCTGTTGGTCTCTAGGTGTGTTGATCATCTCGTGGCACCTACCTCTAGGTGTGTTGATCATCTCGTGTCGTGGCACCTACCTCTGGGATGGTTCAGGAACAAACCAGCTGCCCCACCGAGCCTGTGTCCGTTTAATCAACACAGCCTTGCATTTCGCTGGCGAAGCTGCTTCTCTTATCTTCCCCTTGCCTACCTGCCTCTTGCATGTTTCTCCCGCCAATCCGCCCCTCCTGTGTTTCTCCCGCCAATCCGCCCCTCCCGTGTTTCTCCTGCCAATCTGCCCCTCCTGTGTTTCTCATGCCAATCTGCCCCTCCTGTGTTTCCCTCATGCCTCCCACAGGTTTAGCTACCTCTCCGACTTCTCCTTTCTCGGTGAGACCTCCACTCCACCACCACTCCCACACCTTCTCAGCCGCTGCAAATGTTGTTTTTTCTCTCTTGCTCCCTCTCTCAAAAAGCGCATGGATACTGCTGTGTCTGAGCTGTCTCTGGTGCCAGCCAATGCACCAACCCCCCTTCCCATCGCGCACCAACCTCCCCCAGCCCCCTAGTGATTCACGTTCAAAGCAGTCCGTTCCTCTCCTAGTGATTCACGTTCAGAGCAGCCCCCTAGTGGTGTGATTCCGTTCCTCACCTCTCCACCACCACCTTTCCTGTTGGAGCAGCATTCGCTGCATGCCTTCTCCTGCTGCTGCCCATCCTCGCTACAGTCACATTCTTTCCTTCCCTCTTGCCTGCCCCCCGCCCTTCCCTCCTCCTCCTCCTCCTCCTCCCCCTCTTCTCCCCTTTTAATTCTCTCCAGAGAAGCCGGTGCGGTCCGTGATTGCGCGAACAGTTGTTGCGCTCTGGCTGATGGTGACGCTCGTTATAGTCACGTCGTACACAGCCAACATGACGTCTATAATCACGGTCAACATGCTCACCGTGCCGTCTCTGGACGTGAACAGCGTCATCAACGCCAACAACCCCATCGGTTACCAGAGTGGTTCCTTTATCGAGGGCTACCTTCTGCAGCTGGGTGTTCAGAAGGTAGGACGGCTTTTTGTCCTTCTTTCTTTCTTTCTTTCTTAAAAAAAAGAAAATCCCTGGTGTTTTGAGGTGCCTCGAAGGCTCTCATGGGTTTTGATATGTTTTTTCAGGCGCCTAAGAAACCAAGCGCTTCACCAAAGCAAAGGGTTGCGGTCTCTAGTTTTGTGTGCATGGAAAAAACCCTAAGCCTATGTTTTTTTACTTCTCCTGGAAATCTAAAATGCCTCTCTACTCACTCAATAGCTCTACTGTTGCGCCTTAGCTTTATGCATTCCCCATACCACTTTCAATTCTCCTCCATCCTTCTCGACCCGCCTCTGTCCCATGGCCCATCCCTGCACCCGTTATAGCACAACCTGGTACCGCTTACCAGCGCAGAGGAGTACTCGAGTGCGCTGGTATCTGGGAGGGTGCGGGTGGTGGTGGACGAGGACCCCTACCTGGACCTCCTGCGGGCCAACCACTGCAGCATGGCGCAAGTCAAGCAGCCCTACTCCTTTCTCAGCATGGCATTTGTGAGTTTGGCTAAGCAGCAAAGGAGTTTATCCCCTTTGGCCTATGGGAGAGTGAGAGGGGTATGCAGGTTTCAGTGAATACAAGGACCGGGGGAGAGTGGTGATGCCCGAAAATCCCTATCTTCACCTGCTGAGAGGCAAGCCAACCACTGCAGCGTGGCTCAAGTCAAGCAGCCGTAAGCCTTCGTAAGCATGGCATTTGTACCTGAGAGTGAGAGTGAGAAAGTGAGAGAGGGAGTGAGAATGAGAGTGATAACGAGGGCGAGAGCGAGAGAGATAGCGAGAGTGAGAAGTCATCCCTTGCCTGCATGTTTGTACTCACCATTATTTGCCACAGCCCTGCATGTTTGTACTCACCATTACTAGCTGCCCTGCTACAGCTGGTGATGGCAGGCGAGCTGGACGAGCTTCAGCAGCAGTACCTGCAGGGAGGCGAGAGGCAGTGCCCCGATACCCTCATGCCTGAAAGCCTTCCTCTCCCCTTTCTCCCCCTCTCTTTTCTCCCCCTCTCTTTTCTCACCCTCCCTTTTCTCCCAATCCCCTGTCTCCCTCCACCTTCCCCCCCACATCCCAGGCCTTTCAGAAGGGCTCTCAGCTGTGCACGGACGTCTCGGCCGCCTTGCTGCAGCTGGTGATGGCAGGCGCGCTGGACGAGCTTCAGCAGCAGTACCTGCAGGGAGGCGGGAGGCAGTGCCCCGATACCCTCATGCCTGAAATTTATCATCTTCCCTTTCCCCCTCCCCCTTTCCTCACACCCCCAGGCCTTTCAGAAGGGCTCTCAGCTGCGCACGGACGTGTCAGCTGCCCTGCTACAGCTGGTGATGGCAGGCGAGCTGGACGAGCTTCAGCAGCAGTACCTGCAGGGAGGCGGGAGGCAGTGCCCCGATACGCTCATGCCAGAAGCGCCCACTGTGCTGGCCAACGAGAACTTCTGGGGGCTCTTCGTGGGCTACGCGGTGATCTCTGTGGCGTGCTGCGTCATCTATTTTGCGCTGCTGGTGTTCCGAGGAGCCATGGTCGCGAGGTACGGCTGCTAGTTATGGTGTCTGTCTGCTGTGCTGTGCTTCTGAACAAGAACTTCTGGGGGTTGTTTGATTCTGGGGTGTGGAGTGGTCTGGCTGGCATGCTGCGTCATCTATTTTGTGCTGCCGGTGTTCCGAGGGGCCTTGGTCGCAAGGTATGGCTGTTAGAGCGTCTGCTGTGCTGCGCTCACCATTAAGAACTTTTTCTTGGGTATTTTTGGTGGCTTGTAATCGGTTCCCTGGCGTGCTGTGCTGCGCCATCTGTGTGGGGCTTTCCCCCCCCCACCCCCCCCTTTCCCCCTTCTTCCCCCCACCTTTCCCCCCTCCCCGCCCTTCCCGGTGCTTCCTATTACAGGGAGCTGTGGCGGCAGCAAGCCAAGTCTGACAATATTGACATGGCGGATTTCGTTCCCACAGAATACTGATATCTATGGGTGTTCGTTTTGCACACGCTCTCTCCCCTCCCCCCTCCTCCTTCCACGCCCCCGTGTGCTCTTTTGCAGGGAGCTGTCGCGACAGCAAGCCAAGTCATACAACACCGACATGACCAATTTCGTTCCCACAGAACCAGGGGCTCAACCGCCCCCTGCGGCACTGCCTTCCGCCTTCTCCTTTAAGAGCAACTCGCTAGCACTTATAGAGGAGCACGGGGACTCGGACGCAGACGAGGACGATGATGACGATGATTTCGATGATTTCGATGATGGGTTCGGCTTTCCCAAAGTGAAAGGAAGGAATGCCAATGATGACGACGACGGTGGTGCTGCCGACTGCGATGATGGGGAGGCTGTGGGAGGTGCAGGGCTCTCATTGCCAGCGGTGGAGGCGTCCAAGAGGCATCTAGTGGTGGAAGACACGAAAGCGGAGACCACTGGGGTCTTTGGGGTCAGCTCGCAAGGGCTGGCAAACCAGCGGAATGGGGCGGGCGGGCAAGGGGGGTGGGAGAAAGATGCAGGGGACGAGGCGGAGGACGAGGAGGGGGGTGAGGAGAAGGAGAGGAAGGAGCAAGTGGAGAAGGGTTGTTTCCCTCTGCTTCTCCAGAAGCAGCGGTCATGTGGACAGTGTGTTCCCCTGCGTGCTGCCACACCATTCCCGGCCTTCTCTCACTCCGGCTCTGGCTCTGAGCTGCCCCACGCCAAGGCGGTCGCCAGGTCAATTCGAGACCAGGTGGCTTCAAAGTCCTCTCAACGGCTCCCTGTGGCAACAGCAACGGCAGCAGCAACAGTGGCATCAGCAGGAGAAGCATCAAAGGAACAAGTATTGGAACTATGTGCACCTGTTAGATCGTTCTCAGAAGCAGCAATGGCAACGCAGGCATCACCATTAGCTCAAGGATCAGCATCAATTCCACCACCGACATTAACACTACCACAGGGACCAGCACTAGCAGCAGCAGCATCAACATCGACACCAGCATTGCCATTAACACGAGCATCGGCAGTAGCAGCAGCATCACCATTGACACAAGCATCAGCTGTAGCAGTGGCGGCTACAGCAGAGCCAGGAGTGGCACAGCAGCAGGCAAGCCGAGCCGGCGGTCCAGTAGTAGCAAGCTTCAGAGCCGCGGCAGCCGCGGCCACCGTGGTGTCCCTGCACAAGAAAACGGACAAGGACAGCCTCCAAGCGGTGGCAGCCACGGCAGCCGCATCCACTGCGGCTACTGCCGGAAATACAGCAGCTTCGCCATTAGCACAAGCATCAGGTGTAGCAGCAGCAGTTACAGCAGAGCGGGGAGCGGCGCAGCGGCAGGCAAGCAAAGCCGGTGTGTCAGTGGCAGCTAGCTTCAGAGCCGTGGCCTCCGTGGCGTCCCTGCACAAGAGAATGGACAACCTCGTCGATCGATTCAACAAGGCATGCCCCGCTTCCCCTCCCTCCCTCCCTCCCTCCCTCCCTCCCTCCCTCCCTCTCTTCTGCACTTCCCCATTCCGTTGCGCCCTCTCATAGCTTCTGGGCCGTGGCGTCCCTGCACAAGAGAATGGGCAACCTGGGCGATCGATTCAACAAGGAACCTCCCTTCCCTGCTGTCTGTTGCCGCTCACTTTATCCACCAAGGAACCTCCCTTCCCTGCTGTCTGTAGCCGCTCACTTTATCCACCAAGGTACCTCCCTTCCCTGCTGTCTGTAGCCGCTCACTTTATCCACCAAGGAACCTCCCTTCCCTGCTGTCTGTAGCCGCTCACTTTATCCACCAAGGAACCTCCCTTCCCTGCTGTCTGTAGCCGCTCACTTTATCCACCAAGGAACCTCCCTTCCCTGCTGTCTGTAGCCGCTCACTTTATCCACCAAGGAACCTCCCTTCCCTGCTGTCTGTAGCCGCTCACTTTATCCACCAAGGAACCTCCCTTCCCTGCTGTCTGTAGCCGCTCACTTTATCCACCAAGGAACCTCCCGTTTTCCCGCTTTTCTCTGCTGTTTCTCCCTCCCATACTCCCTCCCTCTCTCCCCCACAGGGTCAAGAGTGGAGCAAGGACTGGCACACCTGCACAAGCCTCCCTTGCCAACCTCCCCCCTCCCTCCCCTCTCCCTCTCCTCTCCCTCCCCTCTCTGTCTCCTCTCCCTCCCTCTCCCTCTCCTCTCCCTGCCCTCACACCCTTCCCTCTTGCTTCCGCAGGGTCAAGAGTGGAGCAAGATCCGACACTCCCGCTCAACCGGCGCTTCCCTCACCACCACTTCCTCCACCACCTCCCTCCAAGAGATTGCCTCGGAAGATCAGCCAACCAGCAGCAGCCAAGTGGCAGCCAGCAGTAGTTTCGGCAGCGCCAGCCCCAGCCCCCACATGGTTCCCCACACCCCCCACGGGCGACGGCGGGGGAAAAAAATGAGAGAAATTCAGTCGTCGGGCAGTCTGGCATCCAGCTTTGGTAACCCCAGACCTGGAGACAGGCCCGGTACCAGGCCTATTGGCAGGTCTGGTTCCGTACCTGACATGGGCCCTCATGCAGGATCGGTGCAGGCGTCGTCATCTTCTGGGCAGCTAATTGCTGCTTTGAGATCAAGCAAGCAGGCGCAGAAAGAAGGGCAAGTGGTCAAAGTCATGGCGTCTCGTCAACTGCCGGCTCCAAGGCCGTTTGGTGGCCGTGATGACATCGACATGGATGATGACGATGATTATGACGATGATGAGCTGTTTGGTGCTTTCGAGGATGACGACGATTCTGGGGATGACATGCCCTTGTCGCAGCTTGAGTGAGCGGCTGCTCCTTAGCTGGACAGTTCCGATGTTCTCCATATTTTGGAGCAGAAGGGGACTAAGAGGTGTTGAGTGCAATTCAGGTAATGTGTGCAATTATTTTCCCCTCGTTCTCTAGTGATTTTATCTACCAACTTCCATCCTTGTTATTCACAACTTCCTTGTGTTCATGTGCATTGCGTTTGATGTTCTGCAGGTGTGGTTTTCTTCCCGTTACGCATGTGCGAGTGTTGTCCAAACCTATGAGTCTCCTTCGTTGTCTTCACCACCCTTAATGAAAGTAGATGTAGGGTGAAAGCAATTCTAGTGATCAAAGTAAAGTGACGGGGTTGTCTTACAGCGCGTCCACCTTCCACCGCTGTGTCTGTTCCATTCCACGTCAGTCTGCTGCTGGCTCCTCCCTGCCTGCCTGCGTGACAGATTCGCCCTGTCAAAACTAACGGACAGCTCCTGCCGAGGGCGGGCGAGATGGGCGGAAACGACAGATCTGCACCACAAATCGGAACATATCCGACAGAAATGCACCCAAATATTTTCGATTCCGCATGTCCTGTCACCTCTTTCGGACGGGCCTTTCGGACAAGCCCCAGAGTATTCCGGAAGGGGATGGAGTCGGCTCGGGAAACCCTGCATAAAGGAATCAAAGGCGGGTCATGACCCCCTGCAGAGTGCCCTCCTACAGATACTACGGATTAAAAAATATTACTTGTTATGCTAAGGAGTCGCACGAAATTGTTTCCGTAAGTTGGACAGATTTAGAAAAACAAAATGCACCGTAGAAAAACGGAATCGCTGGGAACATCACCCTTAATTTCTTAACATTATGAGTGATCCCCTTATTATTTTGAGTCCTGCTTTCCGATCGGACTGCCATAGAACAAGTGAGTTGTTTGGGTTTTTAGATTAACGGTAACCCTTACTAGCGTTTTACTCTCTGGGGTAACGTTTACCCCTATTACAGAAGGGTTTCTTGCTGTTCCAACCCCCGAGGGGCAATTTTTTGTTCTTCGAGGTTAGTCCCCTCCACAGCGAACCACGTGTCACAATCTCGTTGCTCCGTCACTGTACTTTTCACTTGGCAAATTCGCCACACCCCTCCTTGTCTTCTTGTTCCGAAGCCATCCAGTGAGGTGGGTGGCTCTACAGCGCGCTGTTACACAGCCTTACTGTTGCGTCAAATCTTCCCGCCAACATTCCAACACGTCTGCTCGCCAAGCTCTATGACTGAAGGTTCCCTTACCAATTCCGCAATCCGCGATACTGACGAGAACACATCCAGGGCAGCCCAACCTTCACACTAACACCTCACGCAAGTCATTCTAGGGTTTGCACTGGTCCGCAACTGCTAGTCACTTAGCGGCGCGTCATGATAAGCCCGCGAAACAGCAACTACAGCCGCTATCACATTATATATATTCCTCCGCATAGTTGCAAGATAAATCTGGTTAGGTTCAAGCATTAATGGCGGTTCCGATGTACACTCCTACAGTTGATCTGATCTAGCTGTGCCAAATAGTACACATTAATTCGTCACTTAGCATGCTCCTCCAACAACTGTCACGCCTATTTTTCCACAACTTTTGCCCCTTCAGTCTCTTGGCTTTCCCTAAGCCGCCCCTTAACTCCTACATACAGCCATTTCGTTCGCCGAAGTAAGCACCTAGCATGCGGCGCTGTTTTTCCTCTTCTGTCCACCTATCCCACTCTCACCACTCCCCCGCTATCCGCCTGTCAATGCCCGCTAGCACGAATTTTCCTTGCTTTATCCGCCCTTCCCAACTAGCTTGTGAGTCTCTCCTGCTGCCCCCATCCCCTTTCCGTTATGCAAACGTTTCTCGTTGCTCGATCCGCCCAACAACTCTATCGCCACTCCCACCGCTCAATCCACCCGTCACTGCGTTACCTTCCGTTCCCAACTAGACCATCGTCTTTTTCTGTTACGTCTGCACCTCATCACCAGCCTTCGCCTATCTCCGCTCAATCCGCCAACCCCCTAGACTAACATGTTGCAATCCTCCGCTTAATCTGCCCTTCACTACCTATCACTCCCCTAATTTTCTCCTACTATCTGCTTGTTTGTGCCACCGACGTGTGTTCCTCTCAGGTAGATGCAACATACTTATCATTTCTGCAAAGCAAGGGGTCAACATGTTCAGAAGTTCGTTATCAAGGTGAGCACTATCCTATGTTGTTTGAGAAGGGAATGCTCACGGTTTAGGGCCCCATGAGCACTCCGTTAGGGTTGCTACACGACATAGTGACACAAAACCTCTTTTTTTGGCTCGAGCAGTGCTTTTCTAAGGCAACGCAATGACGATGTGGACATACACGTGGGCAAGATCTACTCATCGAAGATTGCTGCAAAGGATGACATCGTGAAATATGCTGACCAGAAGAAGTTTGAACCGTGGTTCTTCCACAACAAGGCGGATCGGATTGAGGTGCGCTGCCAGTCTATGAAAGACAAAGATTGGCCAAAAGATGAAATGAATCCACCTCGTGGATTTTGTCCGTTTCGGATCAAGGCGACGGGGCCACGCGGGTGCGGGTTTGGTGTGAAAATTGCTAGTTTGCAGCACGCAGACATGTGCATGCCACGCCCTGGGAGGGTTAAAAAGGAGGAAGTTAAAGAGATTGCACGTGAGGTACTTCCCCATAGTGTGCTCAGACCAGCTGGTCTGCAACAGATGGTGCGCGAGAGATTAGGGAAGTACAGCTGCTACTCTACAAATTATCGGGCCATTGAAGAGGTGGTACAGGAGGACCCATTGGCTGGTGACGGGGGTTTCCAGTACATTGGTGACATTCTGAGAGTCTTTAAACAGAAGAATCCCACCAGCCTTGTTTCCATGATGTTGCAGGGGAACAAGTTCTACCGTGCAGGTGTCGTGTATCCGGGAGCTAGGAGTGCTGTACAAAATTGTTTTCCGATCATTTTTGTCGATGGTTGCCACAACAAGGGAAAGTGGCACGGGCAAACCCTCAATGCTTGTATGGTTGATTGTGAACACAAGCTTGTGAGGCTCGGCAGTGCGTGGACGGAAGGCGAGAACGCAGAATCGTGCCGGTATTTCTTGGGGCAGCTGAAGGTGGCTGCACCAGAGATCAACACCCCGAAGTTTACCCTGATGCACGATCGTGGCAAGGCTTGGAAGGCTGCTGCCACCATAGTGTTGCCCGGGATGCGGGAGGCATTCTGCTTAACTCACTTGGTGAGGAACTTCAGCTCGAAGTTTGGCTCTGACCTAGATGGCAAGATTGAGCTTGCCGCTGCTGCGTTAACAAAGGATGTGCACCGAGGGATGATGAAGAAGATTGAAGAAGAGTGTCCTGGAGGGAAGGAATACTTGGAGAAGGACGGCCAAGGACAGAAATGGGCGACATTTCTCTTCGGTGGGCCACGCTATGGCTGCTATACATCAAATCCGGTGGAATCGCATCATGCATCAATGCGTGGGCTGAGACAGGACAACCCCGCGCAGGTGTTGCTGGCATTCATCAAGCGGCAAGCGACCGCGCTTGAAGAGGGGCGTGCCCTCTATGGAAGCCTTGGGGCTGCTGACTTCGGGAAGAAAACGGCAGCCATAGTCAGAGAGAATTGTCAGACGGGCACGTCCTACAACGTGGAGAAGACGGGCCTGAGCTCGTACCACGTGAGCCGCAAGATAGGGGCTACGGAGGAGCGTGTGGTGATGAAGAACGCCAACCATCCCGAGAAGACCGTGTGCTCATGCAATTACTCAAGGTTTGTCACTTTCGCAGGTTTTCTTTCAATTTTCAGCAGCATATGCTCTTGTTGGAACTTGATCATTGTGAAATAGATTTGTTGTCACCCAAGCATATAAGGATCGGTGGACAGCTGCTTAAAAACTTTGTGCCTTGTCTTTTTCCTCTATTGATGCTTCCAGTGAGTACGGGCTACCGTGTGTGCATATCTTCGCGGTGCATATCCACGAAACCCGGCCAGCACGGGGCAATGAGCTGGCAGCCCTGCAAGAGGTGGTTCGGGCGATGGTGCACCCGTGCTACAGGTCTGCTGCACTCAAGGAGGTCTACAGCATTGAGATTGCTACTCTAGACCGGACCGAAGTAACACCGGATGGCACTACTCTACCCCCCACCTATCCCAAAAAGCCAGGGAGGCGACGCTTGCAGCGGCTAAGATCCCACGGTGAGATCGATCCAAGGAAACTTCGTAAGTGTGGGAAGTGTGGGGAGAAGGGCCATAACATAAAAACTTGTGACTTGAGGAAGCAAATTCGAGCAGCGTGGGAGGAACTTTTTACCCCAGAAGGTCATGTGAGTGTGCAGACAGCTACACGGGCTGAGGCGATAGTGAGTGTGGTACTGTGTGTTGCATGCAACAACAGCCACCACCCAGGGGTGGTGTGCGCAGCCCTTAGGCAGCAGCTCGAAGCAGAGCTAGAGGGAGATGGTGTGAATGATGCGGCTCAAGATGTAGATGAAGAAGAAAGCAGTAGTTCTGATGACTCGGAGGATGAGTGCGATGAGGTTCCTGTGGAATGTGTTCCAGAAGAAGTTCAGCCAGAGCTGCGGGAGGTACTGGCAGGTGTTGATCCTGCACAGCAGTGCAACCAGAACGAGAGGCTTGGAGAAGACACAGTTACGGGGGATGGAGGGGCCTCGGGTGAGGTGGGAGCATCTGAAGGGGGGGTGGACTTAGCAGCCCAAGCTACAGCAAGCACCAGTTTTGGTGTGGAGACGACAAGTGGAGGGACGGGCGGAGGTGGTGGGAGGACATGGAGCAGAGGAGACACGGAGAGAGGTGAGGAAGAAGGGATGGGAGCAGGGAATGGCATGGCAAGAAGTGGGGGAAGGAGAGGCAGCATTGGAAGGGGAGGAATGGGAGGGACGGGAAGGAGGGGAACAAGGGGTGTAATGGAAGGAAGGGGGCAAAGCGGAGTCAGCGGAGGGAGGGGAGGCAGGGGAGGCGCAGGCGGAAGCAGAAGCATGGAAGGCAGGGGAGGGGGGATAGGAACGGGTGCATCGGGGGAACGTGGGGGGAGGAGAGGGCGGGGTGGGAGGGGTGGGAGGGGGAGCAAGGAGAGAGGGTTTTGAGCCCCGAGGAGGGAGTCATGGACCGCAGCGCCCCTGCAGATGGAAATGCATCAAATGCTGTTGCCGAGAGAGTGATCCGGGCGCGACTGCGGAGAATGCAACACCTTCGACAACAAAGGCAGGTACCAGCTGAAACAGTCATTGGGGAGCAGGGGCAGGGAACTGGGCAACAAACGGGTGTGAATGCAGTGGGACAGCCTGCGGGGGGACAGCCAATGGAGGGTGCAGATGTGCGTGGGAATGTTGAGGGGCATGTAAACTTCGGAGTGTTTACAGCTGTGGAGGCGAGCACCGCAGGAGTAACACATGGGCATGGCCTGATGGATAGTGGTGATGAACCTTGCCTGCAGGGGGAGCAGGCTGAACAGAGCAGGCAGGTGGGGCAGAAGCGCCATCGCCAATTGCGGAAGACTAAACTGCAGGAACGGATGCTGAAGCGGCGCCAGCAGCAGCAGCAGCAGCAGCAGCAGGGCCAGCAGCAGCAGAGCAGGAGCAGCAGGGCCAGCAGCAGGAGCGGCCAGCAGCAGGGCCAGCAGCAGGGCCAGCAGCAGGGCCAGCAGCAGGGCCAGCAGCAGGGGTGGCAGCATCAGCAGCAGGAGCAGGGCCAGGGCCAGCAGCAGGGGCAGCAGCAGCAGGGGCGGCAGCAGCAGCAGCAGCAGGGCCAGCAGCAGGGCCAGCAGCAGGGGTGGCAGCAGCAGCAGGAGCAGGGCCAGCAGCAGGCGCGGCAGCAGCAGCAGGGGCGGCGTCAGCAGCAGCAGCAGCAGCGGCAGCAACAGCAGCAGGAGGAGCAGCAGCAGCAGGGCCAGCAGCAGGGGCGGCAGCAGCAGCAGCAGCAGGAGCAGGGCCAGCAGCAGGGGCGGCAGCAGGGACAGCAGCAGGGACAGCAGCAGGGACAGCAACAGGGAAAGCAGCAGGGACAGCACCAGGGACAGCAATGGGGACAGCAGCAGGGACAGCAGCAGCAGCAGCAGCAGCAGCAGGAGCAGGGCCAGCAGCAGGGGCGGCAGCAGGGACAGCAGCAGGGACAGCAGCAGGGACAGCAGCAGGGAAAGCAGCAGGGACAGCACCAGGGACAGCAATGGGGACAGCAGCAGGGACAGCAGCAGCAGCAGCAGCAGGAGCAGGGCCAGCAGCAGGGGCGGCAGCAGGGACAGCAGCAGGGACAGCAGCAGGGACAGCAGCAGGGAAAGCAGCAGGGACAGCACCAGGGACAGCAATGGGGACAGCAGCAGGGACAGCAGCAGCAGCAGCAGCAGGAGCAGGGCCAGCAGCAGGGGCGGCAGCAGGGACAGCAGCAGGGCCAGCAGCAGGGACAGCAACAGGGAAAGCAGCAGGGACAGCACCAGGGACAGCAATGGGGACAGCAGCAGGGACAGCAGCAGCAGCAGCAGCAGCAGGAGCAAGGCCAGCAGCAGGGGCGGCAGCAGGGACAGCAGCAGGGACAGCAGCAGGGACAGCAACAGGGAAAGCAGCAGGGACAGCACCAGGGACAGCAATGGGGACAGCAGCAGGGACAGCAGCAGCAGCAGCAGCAGCAGGAGCAGGGCCAGCAGCAGGGGCGGCAGCAGGGACAGCAGCAGGGACAGCAGCAGGGACAGCAACAGGGAAAGCAGCAGGGACAGCACCAGGGACAGCAATGGGGACAGCAGCAGGGACAGCAGCAGCAGCAGCAGCAGCAGCAGCAGGGCCAGCAGCACCTGCGACAAGCAGAGGGGCAACATCAGGAACAACGGTGGCAGCATCTGCAGCGGCTGCTGCTGCAACTGCAGCAGCAGCAACACCAACAACTGCAGCAGCAACTGCAGCGAGGGCAGGGACAAGTGCATATGCAGCAACTGCAACAACACCACACGTGGTTGCAACAGCAATGGCTGGAGCTGCAGAACATGCTGCAGCAACTGCAGCCGCAGCTTGCACAGCAACACCAACAGGCACTATGGGAGCGGGAAGAGCCGGGTCCATAGAGGTTGTGGAAGGGAGATGGTAGCCGCTACTCTTGGAGGGTACGCACACTTCCGACTTCATATGAGTATTCCCTATTAGCAATGCTTATCGTTCGTAGGTAAATGCTTTTTTATCGTCAGGGATTGTCTCCTTTTCTGCCGAAACCCTATCAGATGGATCCTTTGAAGAACATCGCCATAGGTAGTATGTTTATTGGTGTGAGTTACATGCATCAAACTGTACAAATAATTTTATGTAGAAGTTGTAGGCTAGATAGGTGTGTGTTCTTAGAGAGTAAAACTCCAACCCTATATCTGCCTTGTTCACCCTTGATTCTAGTCAGTTTCTGGTATTCTAACAACATGTTCAGTAGGAACGCCAAGAAACCGATGCGTTCTGAGATGACACTGCCCTTTTGAATAAATGCTTTGTATTGTAACGTATGCTACACTGGAGCAGCAGGAGCACCATGTTCAAATTATATTTTTATATAATTGTAGGCTTGGTAGTTATGCTACTAACTGCATCCTACTGTAGGGGGGACAACCCCCTTCTTGTACTTCATTCTCTTCTAGTCTACCTACTTCTCTCTCGACACTCTCGTCCAGCTCCTAGCTGTGAGAGTACGACCCCGTTACACCAATTTCCCCTTTCCATATTTCCTTTCTATTTCATTCCTCTTTTTATCCTCATTCATTTGGTCTTTATCTTATCTCATTTGGTTTCCTATTCCTCATTTTCCAGTATCCTTTGGTTTATCCTGTTATTATAATTATATCACCGACCAGGCTCGGGATGTACTGGCGCGCTATATCTAGCGTAATCCTGCCGTAATCCCTTAAAGCCAATAGCCTCGCGTGGCTATACGCATGGTGATTCTATTTCTAGAAGGGTCTATTTCCTTTGGATAGGATAAACCTGGTTACCTGATGTATTCTGGAAGTATAAAAGCACCTTGTACTGATTGATAGTGCAACATTGAGCAAACCTTTCCTCGGAACATTCGATCCTGTGACACTTGGTAATCAGAGCCAAGGTTTCAGCTCAACGCTTAACCGCTGGGCCCCCAGGAGCACGCGGAGGATGGAGTCGAAACTTCAATTCCTGTAAGTACAATGCACTTTCATTTAAGTTTCGACAATCCTCGCGCAGGTGCACCTGGGGTCCCCTTCGAAGGCGAGATGCCTCGCCAACCGTTCGATGGACTGCATCGACGGTGCAGATTTTTCGCGGGGGCAAACAGCCTCGACCTGGCGAGCGCGTCAGTTCCGGCGGAACACTCCCTGCGACATTCGGAGAAGTTCGCAGTTCGCGACAACACTTGGAGTTGCGCGGAACTCTGCGGAGGTTCGACCAACGACATCCGTCCGATGGAGATTCGACGCTTCAGATCGACCGAGACGAAAACGAAATCCATCTGAGCGAGTTTGCGTTTCGGCGCGAATGGGAACGGGACCTTGCAAGCCGCGAAATTCTTCGGAGCGTTGGATCGATCGACAGCCGACATCGACGACCGAGAATTGCTGCAGGAAACGAGTCAACCCGGACACTGAAAGCTGCTGAACGCGTCTCAGGAATATCTTCAGATCGCGTGGAGTTTGGACCGTCGGATCAACCTCTACTTCAACGGACGAGATGGAGCGCGACTTCTGTCTAAAGGGAGAATGACGCACAGAACCGGAAGTCAGCCGTTTTCGACACTGTTGTCGAAATCCTTCATTTGGTGACGAATTTGGTGCGCAAATCATCTGCAGAGTCAGAAATCTGCCAGAGTATTACCTACTTGGTAATAGCTGCAAGCAGAAAAATGACAGGAGAACGTGGATCGTCGGATCGTTGCGGAATCAACGGCACGAATGCAGCGGAAACCGCACCATGGGAAATCATCATCATGGAGACAACATTCGTGACCAGCGACTGCACAATCGACGCATCTTCTGACTGGTGTCGATAACGATCGAGTTATTTTGACGAGGTCATCTTCGTTAAAAATGGATCGACATCAACACAGCGAGATCTTCACCCAGGAAAAACAATGGAGCTGCGTGAAGACATGTTCTCCATCCACGAGACACTTCTTCATACAAATTGATCGACAACCTATGGGATTGCAGAGAAGTAGCCGTTTTCTCTTGCAATGCTCCCAAGTTCAAGTTGCTGCGAAGGAGCAGATTTCACACGCAACGACGACGCAGTGAACCCGTCTCGTCAAGGTTAGCGAGACACTACTTCGTAACAGGAGCTGAACGATTCGTCTTCATCAAGAATCTCAGCCATCCGAGGTGATTGATTGGAGCAGTCTCAACATCGACCTCACGAGGCGACACACCAATCATGCGTCGCGATTCCAGGTGTTAATGACCTGTGTGGAAGAAAATTCCGTGCACGTCACGATGCTTGACAGATTGAGGAGTAATTAACCTCTAATCCGGCAAGTACTCGTTCACTAGCGACCCTACGGCACATGCATTGGAGGCGATTCTACCAGAAGCCGAAGCGTTACAAGCACCAACGTAACTTCGACGATGCAGGAGAACGTCAAGCAATACGAGGTGTCAACAAATGAGGGAGATGCGGACTACTACAACACGATCACGCGCTCTACCGACTGTACATCGGAGGCACGGATGAGCATACCAGGAATTGCTACCCGTGGATACATTGAGGGGAGAAGCAAAAATCTCTTCACACCCTCAAATGAAACAATCACCGGCAGCAATGGAGCAACACATGTGTACCAACGTGCACGTGTTCCTGGTAGTTACGCCTGTTACACCCATCAGGAACACTCTACTGGGAAGAGGGAGTTGGTGGATTCTCCTTCAACCAGTACGAGTTGAGAGAATTCTCTGCAGCAGCTGCCGCCGTCGCCGTCGTCGCAACCGCCGCCGCCGCCGCAGCAGAAGACTCGACACAACAGTCACAACCAAATCCTGATGGATGATTCTCCACTCAATGGAGATAATGCTGGATTATATTCCAGTGGATCGTTAAGTCCCGGCCAGGCACAGTCCTATGATTTCCAGCTAGTGGGAAGGAGATACCACTATGCGAGGGAACATCATGGCAATGCCATATACCCTCAAGAGCAGAAGATATTTGCTCTTATGAGGATGGGAGGACCACGGTACTCTACCGATATACAGTCCTCATGGCCTATGGCTTTCCTTAAAGTCATAAAACCTGCGTCGCAACCAATCCATCACCAGCACCAACTCCACGGAAGCAGATAGGCGTGGAATGGAGCGCCGACGCCACTCCGAATAGTGGACTCCGCGTATCTCCAACAACACCCCTGTTTGCCGAAATGGAGCAGACTTCAACATCGATGCTGAGTAGCTGAGACATCTTCGACATCAACGCTACTTCAAGGACAGTAACAGAATGAGACAACACATGATGGCACCAGAAGACCTATCCTGATATATGCGCCCAGACACCGATGCCTACCAATGGTTTTCGTGCTAAACTGGACGTGCATAAGGTCATACTGGATTGGCTATCAGCAATGCTCATTTGGAAACAGGAGAGGATTATTTGGGAATAGCCCCAACATTCCCAGATGTCCTAACCCAACACCGTGGGATATCTACGCAGCTGAGATTCCTTGCTTGAGCAACCACCGAGGGAAACTACAGTACCTTGGCGCCGATTCTGGAAGCACTAGCTCCGCGTTTGTGGTACCAACCCCTCACATGGTTCTGAACACAAGGGATACGCTGAGCAGCACTTCGCATGCGCTGTTGTACTCAAGGCAATGTGAGTAGCAGACCGCGTGGTGAACAGGATTACTACACGTGATTCTGCTCTCCATTCCGCAGCACTACGATGCCGAGTGGGTACGACTCGCGACAACACTAAGGCATGGACCAGCTCGACAGAAGCTGTACTATGACATGACTGCCATACCACCAACACTTGGTGATCTTCACACGTGGACCAGATGCGGGTAACAGAATGCACAGCTCGGACAACATAGCCACTTATCTGCACATTACAGCACACTGTTCCAACCATTCACATCTCCAACTCCGACTTGCATCTGCCCGTCCTGGAGTTTGCCTACATGTATGCTCCTGACGCCGCTACTGGACAGACGCTGTACTTCTTCTGTTACGGACGCCACCCGATCACACCACAACAGCTAACCATACCAGCCACAGTTCAACTGGCTTCCGATTTCATTGCCATCGTCCACACAAGCCCCTCTTGGACATCCAACATCAGCACAAGCACTTGGCAACTCATCACTACCCTTCTTGAGACCATAATCTCGACATCTGCCATCTTCTATCCAAGCGTCAAACTTGCTTCTGCGGGTCTATCATCGTTGAAGCAAGGGTCACTTCAGTCAACTTCCGCTTCCGCCTACCAGCCACTTGGAAGATCCATAACACCTTCCATACCAGCTTCTTAAACCCTATCAAGACCAAACACGCTCTACACCGAATGCCAACCACGGTCGTCGCCCGTGTTCATCCACGACATGGGACAACTACGTACTTGGACACCGTCATCGTCCGACTGGCACTCTGGAGCTTCTTCTTTGCTGGAAGGGTTATGATACTTCTGAGGCTGCGTCTCTGAACTCGACATGGGTAACGCCCGTCGTCCTCTTCGTGACTACCTTGTCAAGCAGGGTGTTACGTCTACCACCCAGCTTTGAGGGGGGGAAGTGTGAGAGTACGACCCCGTTACACCAATTTCCCCTTTCCATATTTCCTTTCTATTTCATTCCTCTTTTTATCCTCATTCATTTGGTCTTTATCTTATCTCATTTGGTTTCCTATTCCTCATTTTCCAGTATCCTTTGGTTTATCCTGTTATTATAATTATATCACCGATCAGGCTCGGGATGTACTGGCGCGCTATATCTAGCGTAATCCTGCCGTAATCCCTTAAAGCCAATAGCCTCGCGTGGCTATACGCATGGTGATTCTATTTCTAGAAGGGTCTATTTCCTTTGGATAGGATAAACCTGGTTACCTGATGTATTCTGGAAGTATAAAAGCACCTTGTACTGATTGATAGTGCAACATTGAGCAAACCTTTCCTCGGAACATTCGATCCTGTGACACTAGCTAAACCCTTGGCCGCCATTTCGTGGCGGCCTCCTATGTTCTTCCTAGTTCAGACTTTAACACACCACCACCACCAGCAACTGTAGTCGCAACAGCCGGCGGTGAGGCACCTGCAGGGGCAGCAGCAG